AGGGTAAGTTACTTTTTTTTTTAACTTTTATCAACCAGGTAGTTCTCAAGATTGTTTTCCTCAAATGCAAGTGTGCCTTACATTTTGACAACCAAGGCCAGCCAAAGACATTGAAGTGCTCTAATCCTGACTTTCATAGTTGTATCCTGTGTTGTCAGTTGCTACTCCTGGACTGTCCAGTGTTGACATGGATGTGGTGAACTGTGGGTTTCATTACTGTATGTGTTCCCAGGTTTTCTCCTGTATCTCTTTAGACTGGAATTAACGTGTTGACATTTTCTGGCAATGATGTCACTTTAGGAGACTCCAGAGCAAGTGTGAGTGACAGTGATTTATCATTGCTGTCCTTGTGTGTGAGACTGACAGGCTCAGCAGGGCCCTTCAGGGTGCCGAAGGGGCCGTGTGAGTATCTCAGTCTCCCTAGGAGAGGGCTGTGTGCTGTGGATGGCAGTGGAGAACGGCTCTGCTGGTCCTTTCATCCTTTCAGTTAAGAAGTCTTGCGCACGTGGAAGTTTGAATCCCTCGAGACTTTCTGCTGCGCCAGACACCCCCAAACTAGCTGATGACAATGAGGTAGTTCTCAAGTTGAGAAAATCCAAAAGGGCTTGATGGATGATAACCAACTGCTAAGGATGGGGGGCCTGACAGCCCAGCGTGCACGTTGTTGAGAGGTTTTGTGAATCTTAACCTTCAAGCTTGGCTTGCGTTTGGGAAAAACTGCTGCCAACAAAATACACTGGACTGAACTGTGATTGGGATGCAGCCCCTTCCTGACAGGAAACAAATGTGAGAAGGCTTCTGGATAGGATTTCTGACCCTGTGATTAGTGCTGTGCTGCTCAGGGCTGGCATCTCTTCCCAGGAGCCCTGCCCAGGGATCTGGGAGGTATGAATGGAAGCAGAGGTGTCCCAGCTCAAGGACTGGCACTGTTCAGAGGCATCATGTGAAAATGATGGTGCAATGAACAGGAGAAATTTAGAGCCTTGGGGCAATTTCCCTCTGGGTTGGAAAAAAAAAAAGAAGTAAGGGCCACTTTGGAAGATGGTTTGCTGGTTTCTTACAAAACATACTCTTACCCTGCGATCTAGTAATTTTATTCCTTTGTACTTACCCAGATGAGTTCAAACCTACCTTTCACATGAAAACCTGCACACAAATGTTTATAGCTGCTTTATTCATTATTTCCAAAACTTGGAAGCACCCAGGAGTCCCTTAGTAAGTAGATAGATAAATAAACTGTGGTACATCCAGACAATGGAATATTACTCCACACTAAAGGGATGAGCTATCAAGTCATGAAAAGACATGGAAGAACGTTAAATGCACATTACTAAGCAAGAGAGGCCAGTCTGACAAAAGCTGCCACAGAGAATGACTCCAATGGTGTAACATTAAATTTTAGAGACAAAACGAAGCGGACAGTGAAAAAGGCGTCCGGGGGTAGAGGTGGCGGTGAGGAGGGCTAGACAGATGGAACACAGATTATTAAGGCAGTGAAACCATTCTGGGTGATGCTATAAATGGTAGAGAGACATTATTACACATCTGGAAAAACCCAGAGACTGGACAAAACCAAGACCAAACCGTAATGTATCTGTGGGCTTTGGGTAATGATGTGTCAGTGCAGGTTTACTGACTGTTACACATGTACCACTCTGGTGCAGGGTGTTGATGGTGGTAGAGGCTGTGCACGTGTGGCGGCAGGAGGTATAGGGGAAATCTCTGTACTTTCTGTGAACCTAAAACTGCTTTCTAAAATGGTCTAATTTGAAAAAAGAAAAGAGGCCCAGATTCAAAGGTGAATTAAGTACGTGAGGCAGTGTCTCTCTGGAGTCTCTGGCTCCCGAGATCCTTCCACGCTGGTGTCACGCTAACAGAGCAGAGCACATAAAGGAGGAGAGGTCATTCAGTGGTCATGGCCCATACCCTTGTCTCCAGCTTATTCTTCCGAAGCAGTCTATGCCCATGGGAATCTAATGAGAAGTTTAATAAACACTCTCAACCTATTAAAAATTTCTTGGCTATTGGTGGCATTGGCCTTTTAGTGTGTTTCTCAGAACACTTCCTAAATTACTGCTTGTGTCCTGGAAGCCCTTGGGAGGGGGGTCCTATTTCTAAAGACAAAGGATTCACTCTGCATAAGATTTTCCTAAGAGGATAAGAGAAGAGGGAAAACTTGTACTCACTAAAGACCAGCTGAAATATTCTGTGCCATGATTGTACGTTTGGAATGCTGAGGCTCTGGGGCAGTGTTTTCTGAAGCCCTTCATCTTTCAGTAGTTGCCAACTGGCCAAGAAAGGGAGCAGCAGGAGGGCACATTTCTGTATTCTACTGTTCATAGAAGTTTGGGGTATTTTCCCCAGAGAAATTGGTGATCCTTTGGCAGACAGTAGGTAATTAATCCATCATCCCACCCTTACAGAGGAGAAAGGGTTTTCTGATTTAACAGATGAAGGAAATGTGATCACCAGTGGAAGACATACTGGCAGAGGTCAGGGCCTTGTTTCATGGTCGAGTGGCACAGCCGGACCCTGTACACTCCTGGTGCTGCTGGCTGCTGCTGCAGTTTCCAAGAAGAGATTGGCTTGTTTGTCTGGATGTCCTCATTTCAGAAGCAGATGAATAGACAGCGTACATTTGGGGCAGAAGGGTTCAGACATGTCTCGGGCTGTGCATTCTTTGGTCTCTCGTGGAAATTCAGCACATGCATTTATCCCATTAGCGGTGGGAGAAAAAGTTTTGATGACCTTCCAATTCATATGATGTATGTCAGTGGGTTGGAGCAGGGCTGGGATGCATTCTTCTCTGCTGAGGCTGTTCCGTGCAATTAAGGTTCCCTGAAGTCTGCAAACAGCCACACTACAAGCAGCCGAGCCCCCCTGTCCTAGCTCCTGCTTAGGTATGGATTTCTATTTGAAACAAACAAATGTCCTGATCCAAGCTGCAGAACTCTGGAGGAGATGATGGAAAGTCCTACTTCGAATTTCAGTTCTTTGTGGTGGTTTGTCATGGTTTTATCAATGTAAACGTAGATTAAAAAAAAAGACATATCTTTATCACACACACACACACACACACACACACACACACACACACAGGCATAACAACAACCACATCAACAGACCTAGCTAGTCTGAGCTTCAGAGCGTTTTGTCCGTGTTTTGTGTGACTACCTTTAAGGTGGTATGAGTATCACGGAGAAATGTCAGCATGCTGCTGGGAGAGGAACACTGGGGTAACTTTTCATGTGGGATCTATTTCCCTACAGCAGAATGATGTCGAGAAAGAGTTGGGTAGGCCCTTGTCTTAATGTCCATTGAGTCCTGTCGCAGTCAGGTCTAAGCCAAGCACATCTGGAGAAGTGGTTGGGCTGGGCCCCCAGCTGCATTGTTTGACTCTCATGACCTGTGTATAGACTGAATTGTGTATGTCCCCAAAATTCATCTTTCGAAACCTAATTTCCCATAGGGTGGCATGTGGAGGTGGAAACTTTGGGAGGTGGTTAGGGCATGAAGGTGGAGCCCACATGATAGGATTAGTGGTCATAAAAAGAGACCCTAGAGAGCTCCCTGATCCTTGCACCATGTGAGGACACAGCAAGAAGACAGCTGTCTGTGGACCAGGAGATGGGTTCTTACCAGACACTAAATCTGCCAACACCTTGGTCTTAGAGTTCCCAGCCTCCAGGATTGTGGGAAATAAATTTTCCAATTTTTTTAAGCTCTCTTGTTTATGGCATTCTTTTATATCAGCCTGCACTAAGAAAAGTCAGAAAAAGTAGATTGTATTTATGGCAACAGCAGCAAGAGGCAGTCAAGAGTAGGGATTTTGAAAGGTTTTGGGGTTTGGAGGCCCATGACTTGAATCTTAACTTTGACCTTTAGCTGTTGCACAGTCTTGGGCAAGCTTTAATTCTTTTTGTACATCAAATGGTTTCAGGAAGGAATAAATGTAGGTAAAGCACTTGGCATAGTTTCTGGCCTATAGTGAACATACACGTATAATGCAATGATAATGGTCATCAGAAAGAGGCTAACTTGATTTTTGGATCAGAATCCTGTAACCATTTCCAGCATATTCTACAGAGTTACAGAATCTGAACAACTGAGATTAGGGCCTGGATGCTGCATTTTAGAAAGCTCCACAGATGACTGTGTAGGGGTTGGATAGAAAACTCGCCCTTTGTGGGTTGGGACTTTCTCTGACCTCTCTCAGCTTGGTCTCTGATTACCTGACTCAGGTAACTTTAGCCAATACTCTGTGCAACTAAAGTCCTTGTCCTGACTCAGTCTGTCCCTGTTACGGGGCAATCCCTGCCTCATTGCCATCACCCCAGGGCACCGCCCTTCAGGGAGTGGTGAGAGGGTAGAGAATGACAATTAAACTGAAGTAGGACAGGTCTTTTGTGTAGAAGGTGCAGCTTCTGAAAAGACGTTAAATTGAGGAGTGGTAGAGTCATCTATAACCATACCTTGTTTTATCCTGCTTTGCAGATATTGCATTGTTTTTCACAAACTGAAGGTTTGTGACAACCCTGTGTTATCAAATGATGGTTTACATTATTTAACAATAAAATATTTTAAATTAATGTACATACATTTTTAGACATAATGCTGTTGTGCACTTACTAGACCACACTATATTGTAATCATACCTTTTATATGCACTGGGAAATCCCCAGATTTGTGTGGAATGTTTTGTTGTGGTATTTGCTTTATTGTGCTGGTCTGGAATTGAACACCTGATATCTCTGTGGTGTGCCTATAATGTATGAGAAAGTTGCTCAGGCAAAATTGAAAAACAATTTTTTTCTGATTGATCTGTATTATTACTGAAATAATTTTATCTAAATTCCCAACTTCCCTTGTGTCAGGTGTGCAGTAGTAATAAACTAACATTTATTTATTCAGCCTGACAATTGCGGTGTTAACTCTGTTAGTTGCTTAGGGGATGGTGGACATTTAACTGTCCTGTTCACCTATGAGGTTAAGGAACAATGGAGATTCCTGTTCACCTGTGGGCAGTGCCAGGGTCATAGAGGGCACAGGACTGGGATTGAGCCCAGGTGAGGAAAGCATGGCTTTTCACAGAGCTTTTAAGAAGAGATCCAAACCTTCAGGGTCAGTGAACATTGTGAAAAAGTGAAGACCATTTCAGAGGTTGGGGAGTATGGCCAAGGAACTGGAATCCTGAGTGAGGCTTCTAGAAGTAGAACTTGAGATCAGAAGTCCAATCATATGATTCTGGCTGGATTTTTGGGATGTTGACTCAGGACCAAATAAAATAGAGACACCAAAGAATAGTGAACAGGTTGCAGATCAGGAGGGATCAGCCTGGGGATGCCACTTTTTCCAAGTTAGGGACTAACTTAATGCTTTCAGCCCCTTAGGATAAGATTTCCTGGAACGGAATCTACAGTCAAAGAAGATTGGTAGGTGTAACTATGGGGAAGGTAGGACAAAAAGGAAGCAAAAGGCAGTGAGGAGAGGGCTCTCCAGAGCATGCCCAACTCTGAATTTCCCTAAATGCAATTTGCAAAGTAATATTGCAGGTATCACCACCACCTAGCATTTCAGTAAGTACTTACTATGTGCTGGGGACTGTGCTGAGTATTTCACGTGTATCATCTCTTTATTCTTCCCAGCAACCTTGTAGTTAAGTTTCTTTCATCACTGAGAAAATTTTCACAGTAATGTGCTCAGCAGAAGAGCTAGAATTCAAATCCAGATGTGTTAACTGCTGAATAACAGAGATTAATTACAGATGAGTTTCCCTAAAATTTGCTCATTTGTATTAAATCACAATAGTCCTTCCTGAAGTACTTTTCTTTATTCTTTTCCGCTTGTAACTCCAGCTTATGAAGAGATATGAAAAACCATACGAATATACTCACATTCTCTGTCCCCCTCTCACATTGCTGTTATCTGCATACATAATTTGTATCTATGTATGGCTAAAGCAGCAACAGTTGTTAAACTATACAAACACTGAGCTCCTATTCTGTTTTAAGCATTTAGTAAGACAGTGTGAAAGATTCAAGCCCATAGGAAACATTCTCCCTGGGCCTAAGGAACCTATAATTCAGTTGGGACAGTAAGACAAATGCCATAAGAATGTGATGAAAGTTGTATGTATCACATGCTACGCAGTCAGGCCAACAACATGCTATGGGAGTCCAGAAAAGGGAAATCTCCCTTTGATAATTGGGGATGACTTCATGAGCAAGGGAACCATTCAGTTAGGTCTTCCTACTAGTCTAAAAATCAGCTGACTCGAGTTTTTACATTTTTACTGGGAGTGCCTAAGACACAGTAGGAGTCAGTACGTTTTGTATTAAGAGGATAAGCCAGCGAATGATATTTGTTGACCACTTAGTTCTACTTTTGTAACCGATTTATGGCTACACACAAATCATTCCCTTTGTATGACTGTTACATATTTAAAGGATAATTACATTTACTACCAAGCCTTTGAATCCAATCATCCTCTAATATTTGTGGTTATTGTAAGGGACTCTCAAAAAAGGCTGGAAATGGAAAACTAAAAAAACACTTCGACATGGAAAAGAAACTCAAAGTGTTTTGAATTACACTCATTAAGCTGTGCATATCTCTGTTTTTCCAGAAGCAGAAGCTTGCAGAATCTTGTCAAGAAGCAGTTCTTATCCCACTGAAAGGGACTCAACAATGTTCCTTTCATCTTTAGGGATCCAATGTTAGGGTTTCATTCTCTATTAATTGTAAATAGCGTCAATCTTCTAGCCTTCCTCCTGCAAGGCAGTTGCATTACTTATCTATTTCTGTATAACAAATCACCCCAAAAGTTACCAGCTTAAAACAACCAACATTCATTATCTCAGTTTCTGGGAATTGGGAATTTGATGGCAGCTCAGCTGGGTAGTTTCACATCAGTATATCTCACGGCATTGCAGTCAAGATGGCAGCCTGGGTTGCTGTCATCTGAAAGGCTGTCTGGAGCTGGAGGATTTACTTCCAAGTTGTATCACCTGTTGATAGGAAGCCTCAGTTTATCACTGGTTGGTGGTTGGAGACCTCAGTCTCTTGCCACGTGGACCTCTCCATGAGGTGCTCAAAACAAGGAAACTGGCATCTTTCAAAATAAATAATACAAGAAAAAGAAAGAACAGTGTTAAAGCCTGCCTTTTTATGACTAGTCCCTGAAATTGCATGCCTTTGCTTTCACTGTATTCTATTTATTAGAAATGAATCACTAAGTCCATCAAAAAAGGGGAAGAGAAACAAAGAATCTGCTGAGATTTGTTTAGAACCACACGGTCACATATTTATATTTCTCTATACATCCTGCTTTAGAATATGAGTGATTTTTTTCTTTGAAAAGAATGATGTGCAATTTGATTTATATCTGTGTCCATACTGCAAATGGATTGGTGTGGTAGTACTGGATTCTTTTGAAGAGTATTTTAAGAAAAAGACCTGTGTGAAATTGATTGTTTTCTAAAATAACAGCTATCATCTGTTGAGTGCTTATTAGATGTAAATCGTTTTATGGATATTATTTAATGTTCACAAAGACCATTTGATGTAGGGAACATTATCCCCATTTACAGATGATGCAGCAAGATTAAAAATAGCTAGTTATTGGCGGACCAGGATTCAAGCCCATGTGTGTCTAACGCCAAAGTCTCCCCATGACACAGGGCACACGTAAGGAAATGGCCAAGATTCCTGACCCCCCAGCCTGATTCGCAGTGCAGCTCTCCTCACAGTCACTGCGGATCAATCCTGCTGGCTCAGGAGAAGACACTAAGTTGCAGTCTCTGGGTCACAGGCTTCCTTTCTGTGGTATGAGGGGTTGACTTCCCAACTGTCTTGTGTTTTGTCCATTTCTCTCCCTGCCCCTCACCAATATAAAACAGAACAATGAGAGAGCACTAGTGGAACAGGGACTAAAATTTATATTCTGGGAAGGCACAGAGAGCTTTGTGGACTTAAAATATTTGACAAGTATCTTTGAGGGCTCCATTTGATTTTATAAAATTCCCTTCACATTTCTGTTTGGACTTTGGGATTGAGATTAGTGTTTCACTTGATATTCAGTCCTACTGCCAAAATGAAATGCTGGCCGCCGCCTTGTTTTTAAAACAAATCTGTACAAATTACTGAGCCATGTAGAATTTCTACCTGTGTTAATAAACTGATGACCTAAAATCGGAGAGGGAGGCATGGTATGTATTTCATTTGATCTGTTGGCTGGTGAAGGCAGAGAATCAAGTTTATGAGATTCAAATTCACATTTTGCTTTCAATCAACTTTTCTCTAAGTCTAGAGAAAATTTTTTTCCACTTTCAAATTTTCCACGTGAATAGATTTTGGAGTAGTCTATGCAATCCATTCTATGACAGGTTGACAGGGATGCAAGCCCTTGAGAGGCATAAGCTCTCTGAGCTGCATGTGGTCTGTAATGTTCCTCTATTGATTTAGCTCAGGAAGAACTCAGTTTATTCAGCATCAGCATATGAGTATTAGTCGACTGTTGCTCCTGCTTCATTTGCTCATGTAGATGGTGTTCTATTTTAGACCAAGGGATATAAGTGCAGATTTGAAGATATTATATAAATGGTGGATATTTTTATAGCAATCTTTTTATGTCTTTAGGGATTGAATTCTTTTAGAAGGTAGATTTATCAAAATGCTGAAATATCTTAGAAGTTGAATACAGCAGTAAAAAAAAAATTAGTCTCAGAGATTGAAGTAGTATAATTATTTGACTTTTTCTAAAATAAAACAATTACTCTATCCTCAGATCTATGAAAGTATAAAAGAAATTTTCTTCTCAGGGATGGCTAGAAAACTAAACATTTCTGAGGGAATATTTAGGAAAGACATTGACTGGGTATTTCTTTCCTACATCTTTCTGGCTCTAATCCTTTGTTTAAATTTGTAACTTCTGAAGAAATGGGCCAAAAAAGATTTTATCTGATATAGCCAAATAACTGAAGCCAAACTTGGATCTTTAAATTGTTCAGATACTTCCTGAAATTTCTCTTGTCACTGAAACTAATAATGAAAGAAAAAAATATTCAGCTATGTATTGGGGATGGCAGAGAGTTTCTGAGATACAAAAAACATACAATGTCTAGGGTTTTGGATATTCATTCATTTATTTGTTCAACAGTTTTTTGACTACCCACTACGTATGCACCAGGCAGTGTTCTAGGTACTTGGATTCAGCAGTTAAAAAAAAAGTGAACAAAACAAAGACAAAATTCTGTATTCTCTTAGAGCAGAACATCTGGAACTCTGAAGGGACTCAGATGGACACCCTGTGGAGTGTCTTGGTGAGGCCTTACATTATGGCTTTAGTATGTGTAGAGACATGTGTGAACTTGATTTATGTTTTAGATGTCTGTGAGGCAAGAAGTTCCCGGAAATTTTATCCCAATGGGAGCAACCAATGATAAGGATTTGCTGTTGCAATTTATTGAAACAGATAGATCATTGTCAATGGCCTGTGAGTCTGCAAAAATGTGCAGAGAGGGCAAATTTGGTTCGGATGTTGAGAATGAAGATGTCACACATGCAACAAGAGGAAAAGTTCATCACCCAGATAGTGGGACTATCCAGAATGGCTTAAACAAAAGAGGGACAAGTGCCCTTGGTTTTTATTGTAGTTGGAGTCGGGGCTGGGGTGAAGGATGTGTGGAGTTTGTGTGGTTTGAACTTCCTTTCTTGTGCCAGAGGCTTTCTTATGGGCTCGCCTAAATATGGGGCAAGAGAAAGGGGAGGAGGTATGGGGTTTGAGAGCAGTCAGGTGTCAGACAGGAAAATGAAGTCGGAATCTTTATTATAGTATGTTCATCATAATTTTGTTTATATTGAAAGAATTAGAATTAACCTGAATACGCAAGGAGAGCATTGAGTGAATTTGTAGATCCATGCAATGGGATATTGTGAAGTTAGAAATATTGTTAGATGAGGAAATTCAGTTATGCAGTATAATTCTATTTTAGTGTATATCCAAACACACATCTAAACATATATATACACATACATTTAGAGGGAATTCACCAAAATTTTAACAATGTTTACTTATGTAGGATTACAACGCTTTTTTATTCTGATTTTGTTTATTTGAATTTTCTTTTAGTGCAACTTATGTGTGTAATTTTTTTTTTAAATAGGGTTTTTGCGTGGAAGTAGTTCTTTCTTAAAACCTTTGGTTTAATGTCATTTCTAGCCATGGGGGCACATGTAGAGCTGAGGTGAGAGTTGACTATACTGCATGTGAATTTGGTCCTGCTGCCTGTGTGTTTCATCATTTTGTTGGTCTAGTTTAAAGATGATCCAGATGGCCAAAAACGCTATGTTGTGTAAATAGCTTTGCTGCATGGTCTGCTTAATTCTGATTTACCATGGTTCAGAACATCTTGAATTACTTTTGTGTTTATTTTGCAACTTTGTAAAACCCCCAAATTTCAGAGGTAGAAAGATACGGTTTACTATGGTAAATTACCTTCCCCTCCACTTTTTCAGTGCCTTGCCTAGAAAATAACATCTTTATAATAAAATTAGTGAATTCTGATAATTGCGTACGGTGAGAATTTGGTCCATGATAATGATTATTTCATTAGTCAAGTGTGTAACTTGTAGAGGATATGGATAGTTACAGCATAAATGAAGTACAATAAATGAGGTTAAGTAAAAACTACCCTAAAAAGTCTCCAAATGTTGCATGTTTGAAAGCAGCATTGCTTTCTAGTGATGAAAATGAAATACTCTCATAAAAAAGTAAAGATCATTAAACATGTGTTAATGCTTAATCATAATTACTGGGAAGTGTATATGTTTAAAAGTTGCTTCAGTAGGCCATCTAAAATTAAGAAGGCTTTATTATGTGGCATTTACTTTCATTATCAGAATATTAATTAAAGATATAACAAACAATGTCCAGTGGGTAATACTGTAGAGCTTTCAAATCTGAAAAAAAAGAGGGCTCATTGGATTCAAAACTGGTGGCAATACTGGCATTATCACATTCTAATTATTTTAGAATTGGTAATTTACATAATGTATATTTTTACCATTTAAATACACTAATCCATAAATCAGAAAACCTATTTTCCCATTGCCAAATATAAGGAATTTATATAATGTAGTTTCCAGAGAGTGAGCGTTATAAAACTGGGAGAAGAAAGTACACTCATTACTTGGCTATTATGTGCCACACAGCCTGGGTCTTTACCCGTATCATTCATCTATTCCTTGCTTTTTAAAAATTGATTACTCTAACAACTTTTATTAGCGTCCATTATGTGCCAGCCTTGAATTAGGGGTCCAGGTCTCTTCCTTGATGGAATTTATACCTGTTTATAGAATTTCAACCTTACTACAAGTCTTCAAAGAAAGTCTCTGTAGTTGACCGATGGGCACAGGCTGTCTGTCCTCCACTTTGTTTTCTCAGCCTCTCTCATAGCTGAGATGTGGGCAGCCTGAACTCAGAATCTGAGTAGGAAGAACAGGTCCTAATGAAGTGTAGGCCACCAGGAAAAAAAAAAAATCTATGCTTGTGACTGATGGAAGCAGTGGGGATGGAAGGAGACATCCATTTTCCCGAGGTGGCACAGTCTCCTACAGGCAAGCTGAGACGTCTGCCAGTGGTGGCTACTGCGGAGCTGGTCAGCCTCTGAGCCTGGTTCTCTGCTCTTCCCTGAGATCCTCTGGACCACCCATTACATCCTTCAAATAACGTCTTGTGTTTTTTGTTTTTGTTTTTGGCTAAAATCAGCTAGAGTCAGTGTGTCTGTTGCTTGCATCTAAGAATCTAAGTCATTTGATAGTATTCATCTTATTTTATCAAAGAGGAAACATCATCAGAAGAGGCTGCGAAGCCCATGCTCTTGTTAATGTATCCGGCTGCAGAGACAGCCTCTCTTGCCAGCAAAGCGACTTCCGGGTTCAATTTTACAACCGGCTGGGAAGCCACTCAAGGCTTAGCAGAGCCCACTGCCCTTCTGCAGCCGCACCTCTAACGAGGGCAGGATGAGGACTGTCATCCTGACTCGGGTTTTATCTGTGGTGCTGAAACAATCTTCAATTCGTTCAATTCAGTGAGAAAGACTACCAAAAAAA